CCCGGCCCCGTGTGGTGGGGGGGAGCGTGGGGGGGGGGGTTTTTTGGGGAGGGGGCGTGTCCTGCTTGGAAAGGAAGAGGGACTGGCCTTGGGGTCAGGTGAGAGGAAATGGGCTGCAGCTGCTGGGGCACAGATAGGAGACAGGCAGCCGAGGAGAGCCCTGCCCTGGCACAGAGACCAAGCGGAAGGGCTCTGCACCCGGAGCGGCTCCGAGGAAGGACTGAAAAGGGGTGGGCAGCTGGACGAAGCAGCCGGCAGATTCAGGTACCTGGAGCAGCCCCGTGGGGGGTGCGCAGGAAGTACTTGGCAAGAGAACAGAGCAGAAGTCCCCTGCCTGTTCCATGCCCTGCAAGCTGGGCTCAGGGGGAGTGACTGTTCTGCATGGCTGGGGCAGACCTCGCCTCCCTCACCTGCCTGACAGGTGCCAGTCTGGCTCTGGGCGGTGGCACAGGAGGCCCGAAAGGCGAGCAGGGCCTGTGCTGGTGGGTGAGAGGCATCAGCGTCCGAACTTTGCTGTGGGTAGGGTGGGCCTGGTGGGCACTCCTTGGCAGCCGCCCTCAGAGCCTTGAGGTTCAGAAGGGCATCCCCTCCCTGGAACCCAGCTGCCAACCCTGCCGTCTGTTTAGGCTATAGGAAGGGAGTGGGACATGAGTACAGCACAGTGTTGTGTTGGCACCTCTGCTTCCTGGGATGGCTCCTCTTTTGCATCGGGAAGTACAGCCGCTGCTTTGAACCCAAGCTGGTGAATTCTCCCCTGCCCCCTATCTCTTCTGAGAGGTTGCCAGAGAGGGTCCTCCGTGGCCCCGTTTTCAGGCACCAGCCTCACTGTGCCGGAGGCATTGGAGGAAGTCTTTGGCTGACGGGCCGTGGGGGGTCTTCTTCGATGGCTTGAGCAAGCAAGGCAGGCTTCGGTTACCAGGCAGGGCCCCGTGGCTTCCTTCCTGTGGTTTCCTCTCGCCAGCCATCCTGGGTATAATCTTCCTCCGGCCACCAACCTTATCAGCTGGGCTCCACCAAGATGGGCTTCCTCCTGCGGGCGGGACTGCCGCTTTGGCGTGATGCGGCACATCTTCTCCCCACAGGGTCTTCCTGGGCAAGCACCAGAACTTTGGAGTGGCCACACCCTCACGCTGCCCTTTCCTGCCCTGGGCCTGGCGCCCAGCGCATGGGCGGGAGATCTCTGCACTTCTCCATGGTGGTTGTAGTAAAAGGGGAACTTCTGGGGAAGTCATGGGACAGCCTGGGAAGGGCCTTGGCTTCAGAGGTTGCGCTCTCCTCCTGTTCTCGTCTTGACGGCTGCCTCCCCTTGAGCAGTTGAAGTAACTTGCACCAGGGACCCCAGGGGTTGGCACATCCAAAGAAAGCCGGCTGGGCTTGTTTGTTACTGCCTGAGAATCAAATCAAATCTTTGTTAACAGTCAAAGACCAGCATCGTTTGAAAAGCACTGGACCTCTTCCTGAGGCAAAGGAACCAACCTGTGGAATGCCCCGTGGGATTGGGCAAGAAATTGCAGCCTCGGTCCCCGCCCGCTTGCCCCTGAGGGCTGGATGCAGCCCCACCCCTGCCATTCTTGAGGCTGCCAGTGGGAAAGAAAGGGTTCTGGGTCCCACCAGGTAGAGCTGCAGGACCGTTAAGGCTGAGGACAAGCATGAACCGTTCTGGTAACGGGGTGGCTTTTGCCTGCTTGAGGTGGGGCAGGGCCCATCTGTGTGTGTGCTCACCTCTCTCTCCTCGTGGCACCCAGGGCGCTCCCTGCTCACTCTGCCCTTCTCCTTCAGCAGGTGAAGCAGACGGGACATCCCAGCCACCACCATGGTGGCCTTATCGCTCAAGATAAGCATTGGCAATGTGGTGAAGACAATGCAATTTGAACCCTCCACCATGGTGTATGATGCCTGCCGCATCATCCGGGAGCGAGTGCCGGAGGCCCAAATGGGGCAGCGTAAGTGCCAGGAGCTGGGGGATGTCATCCCCCACAGTTCTCCGTGGGATGTTTTTTCCCTTGGGTTTCTCTCTGCCTTTCCCACACAGATGGATGCACATTTGCTCATCCCTAGAAGCTCAGCCGGGGGGGAGCAGGAGGCCCATACTCCCTTGGGGCTGACCTTGGAGGGCTTCTCCCTCCAATTCCAGCCCTGTGGAGGCCGCATGGTTCATGGAAATCTGCTGGAGGGGAAAGTCAGGTGCCTTTCTTCAGAGAGAGGGAACAGTGACACCAATGCCGCGTACAATCTGAAGAACCGAGAAGACCAGAATGTTGCTGGTCTGCAGCCTTCAGGTTCTGGACATGGAGTGGGAGCTGAGTGAACACTCTGAACTGCTCTCAGCAGGCTCTCTTTGCAGGCAGAAACCAAACCCAGCGTGGGGAGCAGGTCCAGGCGGGGTACCAGGAGGAACTTTCTGAAAGTAGTAGCTATCAGCCAGTGGAACAGGCTGCCACTGGACCTGTCCTCCTGGACTGGACTTTTCAAACAGAGGCCGGACGGTCATCTGTCAGAACGGCTCTAGGGCAGCAGTTCTTAAACTGTTTGACCCAGTTATCCCTTTTCCCAGTTTCAAATAATGTCATTCTTCCCCCGGCAAAAACAGATTCTGATGTTGTAACAAGCATCTTGGCAGTGGCACTCCCAAACGATCCTTGAGTAATTGTTCCATTGTCCCCAGTATATGTCAAACGTTACTCTCTTGGGAGTAATTGCCCCCAGTTGAAGAACCACTGCTCTAGTGGATCTTGTGCTGAGCGGGGGTTTGGACTAGATTACGGTACTTCCCACTTTCAAGATGCTGTGTTCCTCATCATTACTGGTATATTATTTATTAATTTGATTTAGAAGGCTGCCCAACTCCGTAAGACTGGGTGGCATAAAGCATTAAAAAATATTAAAAAACAGACGATAAGAAACACAAAGCCGTCTGTCTGTCTGTCCAGGCAGGCCTTCATTGAAGAAAGACATCTGAAGGGGGAGGAGGATGGGCTGACCAACCAGGTGCTGCAATTGGCCAGTGAGACCGGCCATGCAGGGGGGAGGGGGAAGAGACAGGACCGTTCCTTCTTGCACTTTGTCCCTTGCTCATGCCCCTGCGGCTCGTGAGGCATCACTGGCTGACCTGAAGCCCCCTCCCCAGTGCTAGGGAGATGCTTTGGGGTCAGTCCTGGACCAACCCCCTTTCCCGCTGTTCTTCCTTCAGCCAACGACTTCGGCCTTTTTCTCTCGGATGAAGATCCCAAGAAGGGAATATGGCTGGAGGCTGGGAAGGCTCTGGACTACTACATGCTCCGCAATGGGGTAAGTGCTTCCCTGCAGGGGGTTTTACTGAGTCAGCTGGGAGTGGTTCACCTTCATTCCCAAGGGCTCTGAGTGAGCTGGTGGAGAGTATGGTTGAACGCCCCGATTATCAGAAGCAATTAATGAAGGGCTCATGGCTAGCGGCTCAGTGTGCCCCCCTGAGGCAAGCGTGGTCTTGATCAGGGCACAAGTGCCCGAGGGCAAGGCCGCTGCTCCAGAAATGCCCGCTGGAATCCCCCAGAGTGGCATTTCTGCCATTCCGTGGGAGCGCCGAGTTCAGGGCGTTAGCCAGGTCAGCCCTGTCCAGACCTAAAAATGGGCCATCTGGAGCACCGGGCAGCTTTCAGATCCACAGCCGCTCCGTCTTGTTGTGTGTTCTTTTTAAACTGCACCCGATTTGATTGACTCAGACTCAGAAGAGCCACAAAAGCCCAGGACTCTGGATAGCTGTTGTGTTTTGTTTCTTAATCTCCCTGTAAGGGTTGGGGAGATGTTTTATTTTGAAAAAAACAAGATACAAAAGGGAAATATGAAACTTAAAAGTCTATACGTGTTTTCTATTGCCTCTACCCTATATTCTGTTCTATTATGATTTCTGTATTGTTATGCTAATGACTATTCCTATAACAATAACAATTACTACAACCGTTCAATTACTATTACAGTATTTCCTCTATGTTATACTCTATTGCACTCTATAACCATGTTTTTTTCTTACAAACCCTGTTCTGCCTTAGTTCCTCTCAGGAATTTCTTCTGCTTCTTTCTTCTCTGTTACTGGCCAGCACGTAGAGGATTTGCAACTTTTCACGTTGTGCTTTTATACTTGCACTTTTCCTTGCTCTGCCTCTGTGCTTCTTTTCCACTGGACCAACCAGTCTCTGTGAAGGAAAAACACCTTCTTTTGTTTGCCTGCTTTTCACTGTCTTCTGCTACTGCTGCTGCTTGTGCAGAGCTTCCAAAACACGCATGTCTCCTGTTCTCCTCCCACACCTGTTTCGAGCATAAGCAGCTCTCCAGTGCTGATGCTGGGGAGAAGGCTCAAATAGGAGGGAAGGGGAGGCAGCCCAGGGGCCTGCTCTTCCACACTGCTCCAGATGCAGCAGCCTCCAAGCACCACATCTCCTCTGTGGTCATTACAAATAGAGAGATGGGTCCCTCCTGCATATTGATGGTTCTTACCGCTTGCTGGTGGGGGACCGCTCCAAGCAGGGGGAGAAGCCTGAGCCTTGCAGCATCGCACAGTGGTGAGCCCAAGGACTTGACCTCTGTCTCCCCCCGCCCCAAGCTGGAGCTAGCCACTCTTGGAGGAGCAGGCCCACTCCAGGACAGTGCCCCCATTCCCGACCGAGCCAACCCTGAAGGATGTCGTGGCTGATGGCCAAGGATCAGCCAGTCAGGAGGCCCAGAAGGACCTGGAGAGGGACTCGGTCACTGCCTTCTTTGCTCCCTTGGGCTGACTGTTTCCACCCCCTCTGTTGTCCATACTCTTACCCCCAATTGCGGCCCTGGCATTTCTTGACTCCCCACCCCTAAATTTGACTTTCCAGGACACCATGGAGTACAAGAAGAAGCAGCGGCCCCTGAAGATCCGCATGCTCGACGGGACGGTCAAGACAGTCATGGTGGATGACTCCAAGACGGTCACTGATATGCTTATGACCATCTGTGCCCGGATCGGTGAGTAGCCTGGCAGCTTTTGGGCTGGCAGATGGAAGGGGGAAGAACGAGGAGGCCTTCTCCATTCCCCTCCAAAGCCAGGAGGGACAACCATGCTGGCAAAGCTGAGGCAGGCTGCCAGGTGGCTCTGCCCATAGCTGTGGCCAGGGCTACTTTTTGTCCTCGGCAAGGCTGCTTTGTGCCTCCAGGCATCACCAACTATGATGAATACTCCCTGGTACGGGAGGTCATGGAGGAGAAGAAGGAGGAGCAGACAGGGACGCTCAGGAAGGATAAGACCCTGTTGCGGGATGAGAAGAAGATGGAGAAGCTCAAGCAGAAGCTGCATACAGATGACGAGCGTACGTGAGGGCCGGGTCAAGTTCGCGGGGGCGGTACGGGGCGGCTCGGGCTGGAGGGAACCTCCAGGGCTCTGAATGCCTGCCGTGCCTCCTCGTGCAGTGAACTGGCTGGATCACGGACGCACTTTGCGCGAACAGGGCATTGATGACAACGAGACGCTGCTCCTCCGACGGAAGTTCTTCTACTCTGACCAGAACGTGGATTCCCGCGATCCGGTGCAGCTCAACCTCCTCTACGTCCAGGTACCCTTCCCTCCCCTGCTTCCGGGGCCTTTCCCTCAGCTTTCCAGGCGGGGCACAGCCCCCGCCTCTGCCCTACTTGGGAGACTCTGACCTGTGGGGGCAGAGAGGAGGCTGCTCAGGAAGGCCCGGCGGCGTTTCCAGGGAGGAGCGTGGAGGAGAGATCCCACCCTGCTGATCTTGCTCTTCGGTCCTCAGGCCCGAGACGACATCCTGAACGGCTCTCACCCTGTCTCCTTCGACAAGGCCTGTGAGTTTGCTGGGTACCAGTGTCAGATCCAGTTTGGTCCTCACAATGAACAGAAGCACAAGCCGGGATTTTTGGAGTGAGTCTCTGTAGCTTGCTGGGCGGCATTGAGCCAGGTCCCAGTGGGTCATTTCCCCGGACACGGTACCCTCTGGTTGGAGAGTTCGCCACAGTTCCCCGTTCTCTAGGCTGGGCATCTGTCTGTTCTGCTCTAGGGCTGGGCAGAACAAGGGATTCAGGCTTTGTACGGCCCCTCTCTAACGTGCATCTGAGAATCTCTTTCCCCTTTGGTAGCTTGAAGGATTTCTTGCCGAAGGAATACATCAAGCAGAAGGGCGAGCGGAAGATTTTCATGGTGAGTGGAAGGCAGGGAGACGGCCCTCTTGAAACTGGAGCTTTACTTCTGAAGCGCCTTGGAGGCCGGCCTGGCATTCGGGAGGGTTGAGGGTGTTTGCAGGGGAGCACCTGGCAGAGCCAGCTGAGATGGCGCTGAGGGGCTGGGGGAGCCGGTGGTTTGGGAGCAAGGCGATGCAGCCAGTGGCTCTCCCCCTCCCAGGCCCACAAGAACTGTGGCAACATGAGTGAGATCGAGGCCAAGGTGCGCTACGTGAAACTTGCCCGCTCGCTCAAGACATACGGCGTCTCCTTTTTCTTGGTCAAAGTAAGCTCTGCTTGGGCCCACTTTTGCTCCATCCCCAGACTCCACGGGGGCCATGGGAGGGGCCCGGGCTGTGGTGCAGACTGCTCTGCTCAGAGGCTCTGGAGGCGGGGAGGTGTCTGGCTCCGGTTGGGGCTTGGCTGGGGCTTTCCTGCTCCAAGCTGGAGCGGAGGAGGGGGAGACGCATCCTGTGATGCTGGCACCTCCCTTGCAGGAGAAGATGAAGGGGAAGAACAAGCTGGTCCCCCGTCTGCTGGGCATCACTAAGGAGTGCGTGATGCGGGTGGATGAGAAGACCAAGGAGGTCATTCAGGAGTGGAACCTCACCAACATCAAGCGCTGGGCAGCCTCTCCCAAGAGCTTCACCCTGGTAACCACTTCCCCTCCCAGCCCCTGCGGTTTCTTTGGTCGATGGAAAGGCAGAGTGATTAGCAGGGCGACCTGCTGCAGGAGATACACAGGGGCCGCCAAGTCCCTCCATCCAGCCCCTGAAGCCTACATCTGGAGAGGAGGGGCCGCCCTGGAAGAGGAGGAGCCCACTGCTGGATGCCCCCGTAAGAGGGAATGCTCAGAAAGCACCCTGCCTTCCCGGAGGGTGCGGATTCTGCGTGGGGTCCTCTGGATCCCCAGCTCTCAAACCGGACAGGCGTTATATGCAATGCCACTCCCCCAGAGGAATTGCACTCAGAAACACCCAGTATCCAGTGCAGCTGCAGCGGTCTGTGGGCTGCCCTGCCCTGCCCTGCCCTGCCCACGCTCTCCGGCCCTCCCACCCCTCAGCTGGCAGACCTGCTGCAGAGCTAGGAGGCCCCCTTGCGTCCAGGCACAGGACGAGCGTGCCGGGTGACCTCCCCCTCTTCCTGGCCTCTCACCAAGATGCCGTCTCCTTAGCTCACGCCTGAAGCAGCCTCAGGGCAGCCTTTTGTGTCAGGTGGAAGGGGCGACCGTCTGACCTGCAGTCGGGAGGCGGTAGGGGTGGGATCCGTCTCCCTCCTCTCTGACCCTGGGGCCCCTCTTCCAGGGCGATTCTGTTCTGGGCCAGCTGTCTGCAGAGCTACTGGCGACAGCGGGCGAACCCATCCTTTCCAAACGCACCGCCTCCCCGCAAGCCGTCGGGGGGCATAGGAAGGTCCTGGCTCAGCTTTCAGATCTCCGCACCCGCTTCAGCACGGCTGAACGTGCAGCAGGCTGGCTGGCTGGCTGGCAGCACTTGGTCCTTTAACCAACGTGCCTGAGTGCGGCTGCGGGAGAGGTGGTTTTCGGCTGGCCCGGGAGGGGGGGGGGGAGGGAGTTTCGGGGGAAGGGTGTTGCTTTCCTGGCTGCCCCCTCTGGGCAAGGCAAGCAGCAGGGGCATCCAGGGAGGGGGCAGCAACCCTAGCAGAGAACTCCCCCTCCAATGGCTGCCTTGGCTTTGGTGTTGCAGGATTTCGGGGACTACCAGGATGGGTATTATTCTGTGCAGACCACTGAAGGGGAGCAGATTGCCCAACTCATCGCTGGTTACATTGACATCATCCTGAAGAAGGTGGGTCTCCGGGGGGGTCTGGGCAAGGAGGGGACCACAGCGACCCAGGGTGAGAGGAGGGCTGTCACAATTGCTGCTGCTGCGGTCCGGACCAAGGGATGACCTCGCCTGTGGGGCGGGGTCCCTTCCCTGGCCTATGTGGCTTGAGCTGCTGAGGGAGGCAGTGGGTCCGGGGTCTCTGGGTCCTGGCCTTGGTGAGCAGGGGATAACTGCTGCCTTTCTGCCCTGCAGAAAAAGAGCAAAGACCACTTTGGCTTGGAGGGGGACGAGGAATCCACCATGCTAGAGGACTCTGTGTCCCCCAAGAAGTAAGACTGGCTTAATCAGAGCGGGAGTGGTCTTCTGGGGGGGGCCTTGGAGCTGCGCCTCACAGCTGGCTTGCCTTGTAGGTCAACCCTTTTGCAGCAGCAGTTCAACCAGCTGAACAAAGCCGAGCACAGCTCAGTGGCCCTTCCGGTTATCATACGCCCAGGTGCCAGTGGGCCGGAAAACTTCCAGATGGGTACCATGCCCCAGGCCCAGCAGCAGGTCACAAGTGGCCAGATGCATCGGGGGCACATGCCCCCTCTGGTAAGGGTCCCAGGCTCCAGGCTCAGCTCTGGACCTCCTGAGACAGCTGCTTGCACAGGACCTCAGCGCCACCTGCCACGTGCCCCGTATCCCCTGCTGCTCGGGATTCTCCGCTCCGGCACAGGCCTCGGGGCTTCTCCCGCCCTCAAAAGCCCGGTGTGCTCTTTCTGAGGTCACCAGTGCTGCTTGGGAAACGGGAAAGCAGCCCCCCGTGTTTCTCCCCCCTGCCCAGCCCTGCTGCCCGGGAGGATGGCGGTTTATCTGTCTTCTGCTCTGCCCTGCAGACATCAGCTCAGCAGGCCCTGACAGGCACCCTCAACTCCAGCATGCAGGCCGTGAAAGCTGCACAGTCCAGCCTGGACGACTTCGAGACCCTCCCGCCACTGGGGCAAGACGCGGTGAGCAGGGCCGGGAAGGAGGGTGGCTGCGGGTCTGTCCGGGGAGGCCCTCCTGGAATGACTCCCGCTTCTCTGTTCACAGGCCTCCAAGGCCTGGCGAAGGAACAAGATGGACGAGTCGAAGCACGAAATACATTCCCAAGTCGATGCCATCACCGCGGGCACAGCTTCAGTGGTCAACTTGACCGCCGGCGATCCGGCAGAAACAGACTACACAGCTGTGGGGTGTGCCGTCACCACCATCTCATCCAATTTGACCGAGATGTCCAAGGGGGTGAAGCTGCTGGCAGCCCTGATGGAGGATGAGGGCGGCAGCGGGCGGCAGCTCCTCCAAGCAGCTAAAAACCTGGCTGGTGCCGTCTCGGAACTGCTGAAAACGGCCCAGCCGTCCAGCGCCGAGGTGAGTGGCAAAGGGACTGGACCGGAAGCCGGTCCAAAGGTAGAGCTGGCCCAGGACGCCCCGGCTATAGGAGAGCCAGGGGGCCCGACTGGGGGTCTTTGGGCTGATCCCGCCTCCTTGGCCCAACCCGCCACACGGGGAGGAGGGAGTATTCTGTCTGCTGCCTTGGGCTCCTGCACAGAAGGTGGGTACAAATTAAACAGAAAGGAAATCTGAGGAGGACGTGAATCTGCAGCCTGCCCCCCGAGGTCCCTGGTAGACTCCAGCAGGTGCTGTCCCTTTGTGCTTCTGGCCCTTCCCATATGCGGTGCTTGGGGACAAAGGCGAGGAGCAGAGGCTGGGGAGGTTGCGCGCCCTGAGATCCAGAGCCACTTCCAGGCAGCAGCCCCGGTGAGGGGCTCCTGGGGTTGCTTGGGTTGTGTGGGAGGATTTCTGGTGAGGCGTCCGCTTGCGATGCCCAGGCTCCCTGCTGCAGCAGCCCTCTTCACCTTTTGGAGTTGCTCTCTGAGGGAAGGGGGGGCTGTCGCATCCCCGGTGCATGTGACCAGGCCAAGGGCCGAGAGCTGACGTGGACCCCGCTTCCTCCCTTCTAGCCACGGCAGAATCTGTTGCAGGCAGCCGGCGCAGTGGGACAGACCAGTGGGGAATTGCTGCAGGAGATTGGGGAGAGTGACACCGATCCCCATTTCCAGGTGAGGTGCATGCCAAGAGCAAGGCAATCCCACCCCAGATAGATGGGCTGGCTCAGGAGTGGCCTAAGGGCATCCGAGTCCGTAGGAGGGGAGACTGGGAGAAAAGTCAGCAGGTGGTGAGGGGGAATAGTGGCCCCCTTCCCATCCCCAAAGGGGGTGTCACAAAGAAGGCCAAGACTGCCCTGGGCCCAGGACGTGGGGTACCGGCCTGTGAGTTTCTTAAGCAGTCCGACGTCCGCCCAAGGGGAGGCCCCGACAGAAGGAGCGGTTGGATGGTGAGAGCAAGCTCGCCTTGCCTGGAGGACGTTAAGCATCTGCTGGGGAGGGTCTGAAACTGGGAAACTGCGCGTGGGGGTGGGGTTCGGCAATGGCCTGGATGGCACCCCAACTCCACGCCGGCAGCCGAGGCCCATGGGCTGGGCCCAGAATCTCCCTCTCCCTCTCTCCCCCTCTCCCCCTCTCCCTCTCCCTCTCTCCCTCTCCCTCTCACGTTGCGGATGTTCACGTACAGATTGTGGAGAGCCGGCGCCCCCGGACCCTGTCCGCCCCCGATGCCAAGACGGTAAAAGGGCCAGTGCTG